CAATGATGATACAGAAAACTTACATTTCTATATATCTTAGATATGATATATTATCTAAGAACCAGAAGTGACACCAATTTAATAACAGTAAACTTTTATTTTGAAATATAGATACGATGACATATAGATGTTGCCTTTGCATGATTAGCACTCATGTGATTGACTGAGTACTGATCATATGATTGCACCAATGCTTGGCTGACACAGCGTCTGGCCACAGACACCAGATTTTTACTGCAGCTGCACTTTATGTACATGGACATCTATACTGATCACCAGTGATCCCTTCCTATTCATTCCAGTGTAAGTGATCTGGGACAAATAACACAGTCCTCCTTCTGATAAAACATGCATATCTTCTAAAGTTACCGTGTTCTTGGCACAAAATAACCTTTTTGTGTTTCCCCAGCTGAGTGGAGGGACGGTAATACAAAGAGGAAAATGTTGCACTGAAAGGTTTGGTAGATACTTTATTTGTCTAACTCAGACTGCTGAAGCCTCATATTATCTTCAGAAGGACTGAGTCCATAAATTGAGGATAAATTATAATAACTCTGGTGATACCTTAACTTTTTATCAAGCACCATAATCAAGTCATTTTTCATCCTATTTCATATTTTTTTCCTTCTGTGTTTGTTCTTCTCTCTCCCCTGTGTCTCGTGTATAGGCATGACTTCCCCTGGCACTTTCCCGGCTCCCTCTTGATTACAGCATTGAACTCACCTGCTTCTATCTGCACACCTGCCAGCCATCAGCTCATCTTTACAGCAGTTGTCGACCAAAATGGGTTCTTTATTGGCCAATGCCAAAGCTGGCTTAGACAAAAAGCAATTTATAAATCCAATATTCCATGCACATTACAATCTACATGGTTATCTTAGACAATAATATTTATACACTTACAGTGGGGTTATGCTGTTGATTTCAGAATGTGACTGGTACGACATTTAGAAAAGACGATGGTGAAAATTAAGGCAAACTTTTACATAGATATCAAATTACTGATCAAAACACAAATACATTTCAGGTCCCTCTGTGTGCCATTCAAGCAGCAGCTCTACCTCACACAGTGTGGCACATTTTGTGTGAGTTACAGAATGAGAGAAAGAGAGAGACAATGCAGATACAGGGCTTTTGGGCATCTGGTTGTGGTCTAACTATGGATATAAGAAGAAGCTTTGTTGCTAAGCCCTACAAACTTCCCTGCGAGCCACACTGACAAGAATGGAAGTTACAACATTTCCAACTTTGTTTGTGGTTCCTCTTTCCCTGTCACTGAATAATATAATTAATAATATTGTTCATAAACATAGCATGAAGATGGAACACTACTGATCCATTCTGTAGCCAGATGTTCTGTTCGGATGTTCAGGTGAGGGATCCCCTTGAGGTTTTTTCCATTCCCTTCTTCCATGCAAAAGATTTTGGGAGTTTTTCCTTACCTGAATTGAGGGTCGTAAAGCCCACTCAGTCAATCATACACAGTGATTTCATTCTATACTATATACACATATAACAAAGAGCACAGGGACCAACTCCAGATCTAAGCTAATGCCTTGGTCAAGGGCACTGACTGGATAACTTAATCTTATGTACATGTTTTGATGAAACTCCAGAGCAGCCAGAGACCTTCTCGCTGTGAGACAACAGTGCTAACCACTAAACCACCGAGCTCAGTTCATATTCACTGTATAAAACCTATAAGATCTCTGTCTGGACTTAAGTCTTGAGGGGGAAAAATCCTTTATAAGATAACAAAATGCACCATCATGCAGCTAATAAAAAGATTAGACATTTGGAGATACAAGGTTTTTTCGTTATTACATTTATAGATATTAATGTGTATTAACATGCACTATGTGTATATTTTGAGCAAGTCTAATCACTTCCTGGAGCATCTGTAGAGTATGATCTGTATCTCTGTTCAGTCCAGTCACTTTAAATGTCTATTCAATCATTTTAAACATCAATATTAGTTTTATTTGAGTCATTCTGTTGATGAAGTATGTCAAAGCGCAGAAGCGAAATTCTCTTAAAATGGAATCTATTTGTAATCTATGAACTGACACAACTACAACTACAGTGACTACTTTGTGAAACACAAGTTTCTTTTAATTGTGACTGTCGTGTGAATTCTGCTTAGAAGGAATATGGAAGTGATGTAAGCCTAACTCTGTGGTACTTACAACAGGCTGGGTGGTGGGTGTTGCTGATTTTCAATTTATTTTCACCAAGTCAGTGAACCACAAAGAGGAAACAGCACTATCACCTACAGATCTGTAATAGAGAAGAAAAGCGTCACACAGCTGCTGACAGAGAATAGACCAAAAATGTCTCTACTGGAATTAATCCTTATTTTTGTGCTTCACTTTGAAGGTAAAGTTATGTTTTCTTATTTAAATGTCAATAATAGCTTTATCCAATTGTAATCAAAACGTCAAATTTCTGTAAAGACTCGTGGGAAAAATGGAACAAGTTACTATTTTCCTTCTTTTGAAGTCACTTTAATGACCTTTGATAAACTTTCTGGCCAGTAATGATGAGCCAACAGTTGTGTGAGACAAGAACAGGATAGCAAGTATGAGTCAATAATTTTTTAGATAGATTCTTAAATGTATATAGACTTCAGTATATATATGTCAAGGACAGGAAAGTAATGATCAAATTGTCTGTTTGCTCTGTGTGTTCTCGTTGGTTTCTTTAAACTCAATCCAGGCTTGGATTTAAATAAATATTCATGGTGTGGTAAGAGTGTGGCATGGAAACTTTAAGGGGAGGTAGAAATATGTGCTGATTGCAAACATATATATACTTGCTTGCAAAAGCCCCCACTGAAAATATGTTAACTCAAAAACATTACAACCTTGTGATATAGTATTGAATAGAAATATGTGCCATAATAAATCAATACATTTTTCGAAAATCTTTTTTTTCCCATTTAACTTCAGCCTATCACTTAGTCTAAAATGACCTTAAATTATATGTTTAAATGTCTGGGGTTTTTTTTTATTAATTAATTTTTAATAGTTAAATTAAACAGCATTTGAGACCAAACTGGGTTTGCAGCTGGGCTTAGAAGGCCCATGCTACCCCTCTACTCCATACATGTGATAGAATATTCAAGTATTATAGTAATATAACTTGATGCAGTTAGTACATAAAGTGCACAGGATAATAAAAAGGCATACAACACAAAACAAAGACAGTAATAGATGTGTAGATGTGATTCAACCTTTGTTGATTCTGATCGACTGTGTGGTGCTTTTTGCTCTCATTATATTTACAGTGGAGGTAAGCTGTATAACAGAGCGCCCACAATTCACTACTGAACATAAACGAAGATTACTCTTATATAAACACAACCACTAGATGAAGTGGTTGCAAATCCTCATGTTCACTGTTTGGCCTCCATGCAACCAGTGTTATGGGTAATTTCTTACAGAACATGTATTCTTTTCTTTCCAGCAGGCATCAGTGGAGAACCTATCTATCTCTACAAGAGATCTGGACATGATGTTATTCTGCCCTGTGCCAGTGCATCACCCTCTGACACAACATGCTCCATCGTTACATGGCTTTACAGCAGAGATCAATTTAAGACTTTCACTGAGGTTCAGGAAGGAAAAGTTGAGAAGAACTCAGCCCGAGCTGCCAGGATGAGTCTGAACACTTCCTGCTCTTTGGCCATTAACAACATCACTGCTGAGGATGCTGGTCAATACACCTGTCGGCAGGGGAGGAGCAATAATCACGATGCAGTAGTATACCTTAAGTGTTCTGACAAGTGAGTCTCATTTGTCCCATTAATGCATGTTACTAATTTTACTTCTTCCCCGGAGTTCTTGTGCTTTCTCGTCTCGCAGGTTCTCATGGATCCTGGTGGAGCCTCCTGCCATGGTCCTGCTTGACTGCCATTGCTAATATCACTGATATTATTGTTATTATTACTATTAATATTATTATTACTAGTCACTATTATTACTATGTCACTGCTCATTGTCCCCCATCGTTGTTGTCGTCGCCATCATCTCATCATGTTCATCATCATCAGTCACTACTATTAGTGTAGTTGTTGCTACTGTTGTTGCTGTGCACCTCTGTCTGTCTGTCTGTCTCTGTCTGTCTGTCTGTCTCTGTCTGTCTGTCTCTGTCTGCCGTCGTGTGTGCTCTCTCTCTCTCTCTCTCTCTCTCTCTCTCTCTCTCTCTCTCTCTCTCTCACCCCAACTGGTCGAGACAGACAGCCACCCACCTAGAGCCGAAGGATCTGTCCTAGGTTTCTGCCTTTTAAAAGGCAGTTTTTCCTTGCCCTTGTCTCCAAGGTCTTGCTCATGGTGGTACTGTTGGGTCTCTGTAAATAATGTTACAGGGAGTTCGGTCTAGACCTGCTCTATTTGAAAAGTGTCCTGAGATAACTTCTGTTATGAATTGGCACTATACAAATAAAATTGAATTGAATTGAATTTCCAAGAAAACTTATAAGAAGAAAACTTATATATATATATATAAATAGTAAAAGAGTTGCAAAAAAAAAAAAAATATGCTGAGTTAACAGTTATCACTTGTTTTCTCTCAGTCTCTCCATCTCCTCCAGACGCTGATCCAAAGAGGGACGGTGAAGTCACATTAGAGTGCTCTCTGTCGAGATACATTGGACTCAGTCCTTGTAAACAGAACAGCGTCCGCTGGGTGAATGAGACAGGAACTGTGCTGCTTGATGAAGGTGTCGGGTACAAGTTCCTCGGACAGAAGAACTGTGTCTCTGTTCTGAAAGTGAAGCGTCAGAGTGGCCACAACAGGAGATACACCTGCCAGTTTGTTGATGAGAACAATGTAAAGATAGAGGCTGACTACACACCTGTCTTCATAGGAGGGACAGGAGACGGTCAGTGAAATTAGGATAAGATGAATAAATGATCACATATTTTACATTAAGTGGATTTAATATTTTTATAGCCAAATAATTGTATTTTGTTTGGCTAACTGGTTTCTTCTGACTACAGATCAGTTTAATAATCAGACCTACATCATAATCGGTGCAGTGGTCGGGGTGGTGGTAGTGCTGGTTATCATCGCTGCTGTTCTCATCAAATACAGGAAGAGAGCCAAAGTGACAGTGGGTCAGTAAAACAGAGAAAATACAGTATTGGTTCAAATATAATGTGATACACATTATATAAAACATAAGTTAAATAGTAAATGAGATATGCTATGATATATTAAATTTTTATTTTTTTTTAATTTTTTTTTTTTTTTTAAATTTATTTTTTTTTTTTTTTTTTTTTTTTTTTTTTTTTTTTTTTTTTTTTTAAAAACCAAATTTTAAATTTAAAAATTTTTTTTTTTTTTTTAAATAAAAAAAAAAAAAATTTTAAATTTTTTATATTTTTTTTTTTTTTTTTTTTTTTTTTTTTTTTTTTTTTTTTTTTTTTTTTTTTTTTTTTTTTTTTTTTTTTTTTTTTTTTTTTTTTTTTTTTTTTTTTTTTTTTTTTTTTTTTTTTTTTTTTTTTATTTGAAATTAATATATTTTAATATAAATATTTCTATATATTACTGAGTATATGAGAAAATTAAAAAAAATAAGGGGCAAGAAATTATTAAAAAAAATTTATTGGTGAATTTTTGTTGTGGTTTGGGTTTTGGTAAAATTTTTTTTTTGTTTTTGTTTTTTTTTAATAAATCTTAGTATGGTTTTTTTTAATTTTAAAAAAATTTGGAAGGATTTTATTTGTCCTTTTTTTTTCCCCCTGCCCCTCCCCAAACAAATTGGGGGAGGGGGGGAAAAGGGCGTTGGGAAAAAAAAAAAAAAAAACCAAAAAACTCTTGGGGTTGGGTCGGGAGATGGGGGGGGGGGGGGGAAAAATTTCCAAAAAATTAAATTTTATTCCACCCCCCCCCTTTTGGGGGTTTTTTGCAGGGGGGCCCCCCAAGCCTTCCCCTTTATTAAAAATTTAAAAAAAAATTCAGTATATAATAAAAAAAAAAAAAAGAATCCTACATTATTTAAAATTATTTTTTTTTTTTTTTTTATGATATATTTTTTTTTTTTTTTTTTTTTTTAAATGGTAGGGGGGGAAAAAAACAAACCTCCCCCCCCCCCCCCCCAAAAATATAAAATTTAAAAATGGTGGTGGGGGGGTGTGGGGGTTTTTTTTTTTTTTTTAGTGGGGGGGGGGGGGGGGTGTTTTTAAAAAAAGAAAAAAAGAAAAATGTAAAGAATAAAATTTAAAAAAAACTTTTCCAATTTGTTTCTGCCCACCACCTGGGGCTGGGTTTTTCCTCCTCCCAAAAAAAAAAAACCCAAAAAAAAACAAAAAAAAAAAAAGAAGGGGTTTCTAGAAACCTTTTTACTTTTTTTTTTTGCCCCGCCCAAGCCCCCCCCTCAAACCCATTTTTAAATTTTTGGGGAGACTTTAAAAATGGTTTTTCCCCAACTTTCCCCATCCAACCTGACAGAACTGGAGAGGATCTGCAAGGAAGAATGGCAAAAGGAATTGCATATCCAAGAAGACATCTTATAGCAGGGCTTTATTTTTTTTTTTTTTTTTTTTTTTTTTTTTTTTTTTTTTTTTTTTTTTTTTTTTTTATTTTTTTTTTTTTTTTTTTTTTTTTTTTTTTTTTTTTGTGAAGGGGGGGGGGGGTTAATTAAAAAAAAAAAAAAAAGAATTTTTTTTGTTTTAACAAATGGCCTCAAAAAAAAAAAGAGGGAAAAATTTAAAGGGGTCTGAATACTTTCCGTACCCACTGTATATTATGGTATCCTATATTATGATACATGATGTATGATATGAGCTACAATGCTCCTAGAACCATGGCTGGTCTCTGTGACTGAAGATCTATAATATAATATATTATCACATTGAGTCCAGTTACAATGTCTGTAAGGATAACTATTAATTTCTAAATATCAGTATGTGGGTTGACAGTCTATGGTGTGTTTAAAAAGTTAAATAGGAGAATAGTCTATGATTGATTATTTCTATATCAGGACACCTCAGAGTATATTATATTGCTTGGCCACTATCAATGCAAATACATGTAATCCTTTGTTATGTTAATGCACAGGTGATAACTAATAGGTAAGTATAGTTGCTATGGTTACATGTGGTGTCATTTATCTTGCATTACCAATATAGCAAACTAATTTAAATTGTTGACCAGTATGTTTGAGATGTTTAGGGTGACCCAATTTCAATGGACCTCTGACCAATAAGTCAAAACCAACTGTATTCCCTGATATTTGAGATCTAAGCTTTCAAATGTTCTTCTTTTTGTTCCAGATGTTCAAAAACCAACCCAACACACTGTGAGTGAAATGTAACAATAGACAAATAGTAACTGAGTTACTTCCCAAACATATTCATATGCTTTTTATAATGTACTTATATGTACTCAAACAATATTTACTGTACATCCATTACAGCATTTTTCCACTGATGACAAACTGCCAGTAAAAGATGAGGTATGTTTCTCTTTCCTCACTTTTAGATTTAATTAAGAAATTCAAAGAATAATCCATATATTTGGAGTTTGGTTTGCAGTTTTTTTTAGCCCTGATGCTGGACCATCATATTATGTATCATGGTCCTGGATGGATTACAATGACCCGTGCTCAGTGCTGCCACTAATGGCCAGAAGTTCTATTGCAACAATACTAATGTAGACAGTCTGATTGTCTCCAATGTAAAAGCAAAGTTAAGTTGTACAGCCTTTCATTTTTTTCAGATTAGGTTGAGCAACACTACCACATGTGATAAATACAATTGATAGAGATGAGATGTGCACTTTCTGTTTGTGTTTCATAACCCACTGTGTTATTTGTACTCAGGAAGAACCAGAGAGCAATCTGACCTATGTCACTGTTAGCCATGCTAATCAACAGACCTCTCCTAAGAAAAAGGTGAGTGACTCGATACGCCTGTATTTATTCAGCTGTGGTTTTCTACTTCAATAATGGTTTAATCTTAAACTTGCTTTGTACGGCAGTGAATTACTGTCATGCCAGAAAAAGAAAAACTAATCAGTATCTCGTTACAATGTGAAAAGTTTACGGTTAAACACATTTTCACATTATAACAAGATATTTTGACGTTATTACAGGATACAAACTTATGTTATAACAAGAAACTTTTCTTGTTCTAACAACATATTTAACCTTTTATGAGGCAAAAACACTTGTTATAAAGTGATATGTGATAACTAACTCTGGATTGTGTCACACAGGTCAAAGAGGAGGAGGAGGTGACTTATTCTACAGTCAAGACTTCATTGAAGACAGAAGCAGACGATGATCCCAGCGGCCTCTACAGCTACGTCAGCCAACCAAAATAAATCAGAGGATATGAGACTTCCCATAATGTCATATTCATAAAACCTGCTGCAAGAGTCTTTTTTTGTCTGAAGAAGTGGGTAGTTGGATTTGTGCCTCAGTGTTTGTATCAAATGCTGAGAAGTTGTTTCTAGTTTGGTGTTGCTTTGCTCAGCATTAAGCTGGTTGTTCTGTTAAACTGGTGTCCTCTTACTCAGCCAGTTAATGATTTTAAAAAGACATTAAGCCGGATTGGCAGAATGATTGTCACAAGTGAAAGTATAATCTTTGTTGGTCAGTGAACAGAATTGTTTGACAAAAAGATAAAGCTACAGAGCATTTCATTGTTGGATACTGTTGTCAAGCCAATGTTCAATTTTGCAACTAAAAGTCGGATCCAATGGTCCTTATGATCTAACGTTCTATAGTTGGACTGTGAGCGTAACTTATTGTTCCTACATTATTTTTCCCGTTAGGATGTTTTATTTTGTTGTAACATTGTGTCATATTCTGCTAGCATTAGCATTGCTAAGATATCTGTTAGGATTTCTCATTGGGTTGTCAGTAATATAAAATAAAAATGATGCACTTCTTCCTGTCTCCTCTTCAGAATTCAAGCTGTGCTGTGAGCTCATCAGTACAAATCTCTATGCTTTACATCATTCTCAACCATTTTCTTCTGTTGTATATTGAGTAGCAATGATGTGAAGATGTGTTGAAGAGAAGTCCGCTGACACCGTCTTGATTGTATTTAAAGGTTTATTACAAAAAGTTCAGCATCAATACAAGCACCGCGGAGCTTGGAGAGCATCCAGCCAAATGAACAACTCTGTCTATTTTGCATTGAACATAGGTTTATATAGGTCTGTTGTTTACTCCAAAAATGGAAAGAAACATCTGGATTCAATCCAAATATGTAAGGTATAAAGGGGAGATGGGGAGTAGAGTTCAGAGGCCATTGAGAGGCCCCTAAAACATTCCATAGTAAGAATGATGTCATTGAACCTCATGAACTTCTAACACTACATATGGTAACAAAATATCATTTCAACTTATACCAAAATGTAATTTAACTTTATAAGCTTTAAGGTAAGCCTTCAGATACTACATATTTCCCCCCTTCGAGGCTGATAAAGTCTCGAAAAACAAAAGAGCAAAACATACATGTTTAAACACTCGACAAAAATAACAATTCCTCCTACACATGCTTCTTACAGCATAACCTTAACAATACAGAAACTTTATGGAGTGCGAGAGCGAAAAACCTATCCGGCAGCTTTCTTTCCAAAGTATCCATCAAACAATCTAGACAGGAAAATTCTCTCACGGCCCCTCTGCCTCAGGCGACCACACATAGTACTCCAAATCAATTAAAAGAAAAATCTTAACAATTTATTTAGAGATCTGGTTTAAGCAAATACATGTGAAAACCTCAGGAAATAAAATCAAAACAATGTCCAAAGTCAGGCTGGTCGACCCATCGTACCTTCCAATGGACCTGTCCCTGCCTAGACCCCAATATCCCTAAGCATCAACAAAAAAAGAAAACATCTGAGGTCCCCATATATTTACCTATAACAGAAAACATCATTCTCCAAACAGTTAATACAAAAAGAATATGATACAAATGACGTATTACTCATGCAAATATGTATATATCAGAGAAGACATAAGAATGTATCACACTGCAGCTCCTCAGCAGTGTCGACTCTCAGTGTGTCGATGATGTGTCGAATCTGAACATTACATCACCATATCCTTGTTCAGAATTCTCCAGTCCATTCTTATTGTCCATATTTGAGTATCTGAATCCCTTCTGCACATTCCCCCAATATGTTCTGGAAGAAAAGAAAAAACCAACCAGTATCTTTTGCAAAAACAACACATAAAAATTAAAACATAGAAATTACAAATTAATATAAAATCACAAATTAATATTCCATTATGAATCACATTCCATTTCCCCCCTTTGGTGAATAAGAAACCACTAAATACTAAAACAATAGCAAAATAAATGTGAAGAGTATAACACAATTAGATATTCAAAATGGATATTTCTCCATCAATTCACCTTCTAGCATTAATTCCTCATCTCCGTCTACATCAGTCATATTTAACAAAGGCATCTGAGTGTGTTCTCCAGGCATCACAACTCCAACCCATCTCAAAATCATAGCCTTCGCAAAAGTCAGCAGCAGTGTACAAAAACAAAACATCACACACAGTGATAAAAGAACCGCTGATAGAATCTGAACCAACATTGCTCCAAATGGTCCTAATTTATCCCGCAACCAAGCATTTGCAGACCATCCAGCTCCTTCCGACCGACCAAACGCATCCCTTATATTCCTCAATGCATCTATAACACTAGTGATATTATCAGAACTATCTGGAATCAAAGTATAACAAGCATCACCGGTCAAGTTCAAAGCCACACATAGGCCACCTTGTTTGGCTAAAATATAGTCAAGAGCCATGTCATGTTTCAACAATGTCAGTCTGTGACTCCTTTGCGTATTTGACAAATATTCAAACCCTCGTATAGTTTCATTTGCAAAACCCTGCAAAGTGTAGGTAATGTTATCAATGTGGTCTGCCAAAAATGTCACACCATACCATGGGAATAATCCTATACCCCACTTCTCTCCTAGACTTATCCTCCAATGGTAGGATTCCAAATTATGAAATTGCGCCCTGTCTCTTTTCACCCTATTTCCAGAAATAGGATCAGATCGAGCCTTATCAGGTGCTTCTCCCCTCTGGATGGTAAAAACCTCATACGGGAGCTTCAACGTCGCCATGTAACAACATCCTATCCATCCATAGGGTAGAAATATATATGCCTTATCACCACAAACCCACCAAATATCTCGAAAATTCCCTATAGTCACATTTCCAGGCAAAAGCTGATCTCTCACCATTACAATTCTACTCTGTTTACTAGATGGTACATAGAAAGTAACTTTGTACCTCTTATCACTAGCCTTACGTTCATGCTTATTCAAGGTCATTAAATAATCATCACAATCTGATATTCCCATAAACATCCCAGGTCCATTATAAGTATTATTTGAACAAAAACAGCCTTTAGCCCTCATGGGTGTCACATCCATTGCTTCAGGAACTGCTGTTAGCATATTTTCCTGCTGATCCAATAAATTCACATAGGGCAATTCACTTAACCAAGAACAGTTAAGTCTAGGCCTAAACAAATGCTTTGACAAAGACATCACTATATCTGTTGCTGATTGTTGCTTATACAACAGCCATGATAAGGCATAAGATTGACACATAGTAGATAGAGGTTGAGCCACTGTCTCTAAAATTGAAGGCCATGTGCCTGGTGCTGGAACCTTCAACACACATGGACAATTCAATTTTCTAACCGATCTCACAGAATGAGTTAACTGCTGGAACCATAAGTTCCTACCTGCCCATGAATCTGCAATTTTCAAAACAGAAGAATCAAATCCATATGCTTTCCATGCAGCTTCTCTCTTCTGTAATGAACGATTTTGAGTAATCATATCTTCTGGTATCCCATCAAGATCAAAAAACTCATTTTTTACATCTGGAATAGTTCTCTGAGCTATCACAGATGAATCTACATCATTCTCTTTTACCATCTGTTCTCCAATCTCAAAAAGCTCCTTACTACCATTCACACTAACCTCCATCTGTAACATAGACTTCTGGGTTACATTTACTACATCCTTTAATTTCAAAGGTGTTGCATTTGATGTCTGTGTCATATTTACAAAATTTGTAGACATTGAAGATGTTGTCGCTGTTGTAACATTCATCTCCTTCAAAGTTACTGCTAAAATAATTGCCTGAGTTGATGTATTAACACTCTTAGTTGTTTCCAAAGGTAAAGTAACCAACGTCATCTGTGTACTATTCACTCTCGGAGTGATCACTTTAGTAAATTGTTCCTGAACCCTTTTGGCGACTGTGGAAACTTCAACAGGCTTCAAATCTTTTATCATAAGCGTCACCTTACGGGTTACATAACCTTCTGTCCAATAATTCTGAAACGGAACAAATTTAAACTCTGGCTCTAAATAAGTACACACATATTCACCTTGGTCTTCCCATGTAACATTACGCAAGAAAAGTGAACAATCGCCCACAATCTTCCACCACTTCATATCATTATACAGAAGATACTTTCTTTGACTAAGGGGCACATCTACTTCAGGTCCCGATAACAACACATCTTCACCACGACTATTTCTCCACTTAGGAGGAATGCTACTACCAACATTCCATCTCCCACATTGACAAGGAAGATGAGCTGTTCCTCCCAACTTAACTCTAATCACAGTCTTCAACGAAGTTGGCGTCGGAGGAATCGTCCAAGGCGCCACTGTAGTCAAATGTGATACATTTACACCTTCAGTAATCATTAGCGCTAATAAAGTAGAATTGCATCCCACTTTTCCAGCTTTAGGCTGAAGTGTTGATGTTATCGTTGTCAGTTCCTTTGTTTCTCCAACGACTTTGAGCTCTGTACTCTTATTTTCATCTATTAACACTAGACTCACTACATTAACTCTGAGTCCCGACTTTAATCCCTTGCTTTCAAACTGTGGATCATAAAAAGAACACTTATAATCACCCTGATCTTCCTGCTGGGAACTATACACATAAAGACTGCAATCGCCTTTAATCTTCAATCGTCTCTTGTCATTCAGTAACGCATACTTTCTCAATGGCAATGCCCCTAACAGGTCTATAACCCTGCCATGGCTATCTTCCCATTGAACTCTAAATTTCCCTTCACCACTATTCTCTCCTGTACACTGACATGGGAGCTGAGCTGACTGTCCTAGAGTTACTTCAACCCTAGTTTTCGTAACGTTTTGGTCTGACTCTTTTCCGAACTGGTCTTGGACTCCTTCGTCTAACTGAATCACCTGCTTCTCCTGTAACGGAGTTACAGCTCTTGGTGACCTCTGCCGTTTCACACTCCACTGAACTAGGCCCTGCTGTCTCTGGGACGTATTGAAAATCAATGTCCCCAAATCTCCTTTCCTCTCTATCAACTGCAGAGTCATGTCTGGCATCATCAGAAATGTGCACATGATCATCAATGTTGTCCACAACATGGACAATCTCCCCCTTCCGGATTTTGACTCTGGAGATTTTCATGCATCTCTTCTCCTGCTGCCTGTTCTTCCACATGTTCTTCCAGCTCTCTTGAGCCTTCAACATCTCTGTTCTCTAAACGTGGCGCCTCTTCTCTTGGCGCTTTAACACAATGTGATAAATGATACCACGTTGGAGACCCTTTAACCTGGACAGCTGTTCCAGTACTGCGAACAACTTCAAATGGTCCCTCACGGCGTTCGTTATACCACTTCCTTCTAAATACCTTCACGAACACCTTGTCCCCAGGTTGCACTGTACTCCTTTTTTGCTCATCGAGCCTCTCCTGCACCTCTTCTTTTCTTTGCCTGTCAGAAACATATGTGGATATTCTTTTATGGAATTTAGCCATATACGTAACATACGCTCTCATTTCATCTTCCAAAAGGGCCAGACTTGGACCTTTTCCACTTGTTCGCAAACAAGTCGTAGGCATCCGTCT